TTTTTTTTTTAACCAGCAATGTGATCTAGGATAAATTACTTAACCTCTCTGCGCCTTAGTTTCTCCATTGATAAAATAGGAATATTTGATGGGATCACCTCATAAGATTGCTGTGAGGATTAGATGAATTAATAAAGTTCTTAGAACAGTTCCTGACACCCAAATGATCAATAAATGTCAGCTTTTGTAATTCCAGGTTTATTACGAAAAGTAAAATTCCCAGAATTTCTGAGCTGTTTCCAATGAAAAGCTGGCTGAAAGATAAATTGGCAGCTTCGAATTAGAGATTTTAGAATATCTTGATGATATTCAGGGGTAAAGAAACAATTTCTTAAATAATTTTAATGTTTTATTTTTTAGAGAGAAGAGACTGTGAGCAGGAGAGGGGCAGAGGAGGGGGACAGAAGGATCTGAAGCGGGCTGTGAAGCTGACAGCAACGAAGGCCTGATGTGGGGATCGTGACTCCCCTAACAGAGATCATGACCTGCTGAGCTTGGATGCCTAACGGCTGAATCACCCAGGCACTCTGAAACAAAATTTTAAGTTGAGATTTGTAAAATCCAAGATTAATCATAAATCTTTGTCCCCTCAAAGTATGGATCAGATACTGACTAAACACACATGCATTTGACTCCTCATTACAACAGAGAAAAAAATAGGTGGGAAGAGGTATTATCAGAAGATGAAAAGAATTTTCCAGAAGTTTTCATTTCTGGGGAAATGAAAAACAGATAAATATTGAGATAAAGTATACTAGGGGCTACAGCCAAGTGGAACCTACAGAGACTTCTGATGCCATTTGCCCCCAGCTTATGCTGCACACACACACCCCACACCACACACACACACCCGCAGACATGCTGTGGGCCCCAACCCCTATACATGTACACTCTACATCTTTAAGTGAAGCTACTGCAATCCTGCATTTACCTCAGACGAAACTCCTTTCTCAAAGATTGAAGGAAACTTCCAGGAGAGAATATTACTAGTGTGAGTGTGTTAGTACTCCACATTCTGAAACCTCAGCTGGCACCTGGTCTCCTTAGCTCCTAAGGCAAAAAACCTGCTGGGTAACAGACCCGTCCACATTCACAGACTTCTTACTCATCCTTCCCCAATTAAAAGAGAATTTATTTCGACAATAAAACATACACAAGCAGAACCTAGAATTCTTTTTTTTTTAAATATCAACAGATAACTAAGGTTAGTAGACATGAACCAAACAGTAGCGTGGAAAAGAAAAGGCTAAAAATGGACAGAGTAACCAAATACAGGGGAAAAAATCAGGGAATAGAAAAACCCATAAGTTTTTAAAAGGAGTATTCTCAGAATTTGAGAAATACTGCATCCCCTAAGAACAAGCTATGAAGAAGGAAGCATCAGAGAACAAGTTAGATCTCATAGAAACTAAATATCTAAAATTTTAAATACAACACATGCATAGAGTAAACTCCCAGGTAATGTCTCCCCAGAATGCGAGCTGAAAGATAAAGGGTGGAAAATGTAGGGATGGGGGAAAAAATGGCCTGATGGACCAGGTCAGAAACGACCATGGGGAGTTGCAGAAGAGGCAGTGCGTTGGATTGAAGGGGTTCATGTGTCAGGGGAGGCTGAATATTTCCCAAAAACCTGTACATGGGGGTGCCATGGTAAAACTCAGAGTAACAAGGTTTTTCTTTACAAAAGGAATTCCTGAGAGAAGAATAGTAACAGCACACACTTATAAAGAACAAAAATCCAACTGGCATTGTATTTCAGCAACAGTGCTCAAGAGTACTGGAATAAAAGTTTTCAAAATTCTAAGAATTCATTTCTGTTGTACAACAAACATCAGGTGCCCACTGTGAGAGAGGAGGTGCTATTCTAGGCATTATTATTGAACAAAAGCAGACCCAAAAAAAAAAGTTCTGCCTCTGTACAACTTACATTCTGGTAAAGCAAGAAAAACAAGATAATAGAGGCGTGTCTGGGTGGCAGAAGAGATGATGGGTTGTAAGTGGGAAGAACAACACAATAGGAGAAATGGAAATACCATAAAGATGATTTTCAGGTTTCTGATTTCTAGTTATTTTAAAGATTTCTGTATCAATAAGCTACAACCCGAGCATTAAGAGCAAATAAAAGAGAATCTTATCCGACAATAAAGATTTGCAATTTTTTTTTTAAATTTTTCAACGTTTGTTTATTTTTGGGACAAGAGAGAACCATGAACGGGGGAGGGGCAGAGAGGGGAGCCTGGCGGAAACAGGCTCCGGGCTCCTGAGCCATCAGCCCAGAGCCCGACAGCGGGGAAGGAGCTCAACTCCGCAGACCGGCGAGATCGTGACCCTGGCTGAAATGGGGCCTTTATTTGACTTCGCCACCCAAAGCCCCTGAAGATTTTTTAAAACATATATGAGATTAAATAAGGCATGTACCTGTTCATCCTTAGAAAGTTTTAAAAAAAAGTGTCTTAGCAAACAAGGTAAGGGGAAGGCAAAAGGATCTCAAGATACAGGATTGCCAAATTTTAGAACAACCACAGATCTTTGGGAAGGGATCCCCAAATGACAGCTATTTATCATGACTATTTCTTTAGAAATTACCTTTTCTTTTCTTTTTTTTAAAACTAGCTCCTTTGTTTTTCTGCCACACCATGATTTTACCTCTACTGGATTTTTTTTTTGTTTTTAAGTGGAAACAATTTTCTTAATCCAAGATTTTTCACTTTTCAAGAAAGTACCCTCTTTAATCTCGA